ACATGAATAAAATGAATGAAATGACTTCTAAATTGGTTTGATTTCTAAGAGAAAAAGGGTAACCCTTCCAGGCTGTTTGAGTGCCTATTTTTACCACCTCATTTCTTAAAAGTATTTCTTCAAACTATGGCTTCCTTTAGGTTTATATTCAAATTTAAATCTCTTACGGACACATTTCAAATTTATTTTATTTTTTCTTAAGGATTAGAGTGCTAGAACGGAAAGACTTCAAAGACCCTAAGGGTATAAAAGTTCAGATTGGAGAAAGGCACATATTTTTCCAGGCTGAGGAAATAAAAACCAGATGTTCCCCAGGGATGCTTCCAAAGTTTAAAAGCACATCTTTGGGGGCAAGACTAAGGTATCTCAACAGCATTCTATGACCTTACAACAGGATACCTCCTAATTGTGCCATGAATGGACAGGTTAATGAACGACACTTCCAGGAATCTTCATTTAGGTAGTTTATTTGTATATGTAGAGTGTTCGTGTATCATTCTTGAAGCTACTCTAGAATGCCATGTGATTTTTCATACTATTCCTCTATGAAAAGAGAGGCTTAGAATAAAATTAAAAGCTCAATCATTTGAGCCAATGAGGGGATTCGGCCAGGCGCAGAGTATGTCTATTCCACTTAGGCATTCTAGACCTGGGGAAGTCATCGTGGCTGGTTTGAGGACCCACTGGAAGAGAGAGCTAAAACCCCACTGATCACCTGACCTCCGTGAGCCCCTACTCTGACTGGTGGACCACAGGGATGTTTTGAGTTTCCTGGAATTAGTATCCATTCAGAGCCAGTGTCCTATAATCCCTGAAAAGTCTGATTGTGTCCTTTGACATCAGCACAGCCACCACAAAGATCGGAGACCTCTTTAGGGGAAGCCTGGAAGAAAGACGAACTGTGTAAAGTTTTGATAGTGTAGCAGTCCGTTCTCAAGAGGACTGGGTCTCCCCTTCATTCAAGGGGTTCTTGGTCTGTAAATGACTAAATATGGGAATTGATTTAGGGGACAAGACTCTCTGCTCTTGCTATTCAGGTTACACTTTTGTTCATTCGACCTAGAACTCTTCTTCCACTTGTACAAATCAAGTATGAATTTAGGAGACGGTCTGTTTCATTTCTAGGAACACCATGGTCAATCAGCCAATTCCACTGGTCTCTGTGAGTCAGACTATTCTGAGGAAGGCTTTGACTCTGCGTCCATTACAGCAGCCACACCCACTTGCCTTTGGTGATTAAGTGCTGCCACCTGACCTCTAGGGCCCACCTCAGATTTCGGACTTGCCAGCCTCTCCACAACAGCATGAGCCAATTCCTTAAAATAAATCTCCCTCTTTCTCTATGTATGTGTGCATATAGATACTACATACTTTCCAGAGAAACAACTATTTATCTACAAACACACACAGATACACACAGATATAGGACTATATATATAGCTGTTTTCCGCCCCCCCCCCCAGAGAAAAATATGTATGTAGTTCTGTTTCTCTGGAAAATCCTGACTAATACAATGGAAGACATGGAAGGGAGGAAAGGCATTTACTAATCAGACTGGGCTAGTTTCCTAAAGATCAAGATAAAAAAAAGGGCTTGCTCATACTATGAATTTCAGAGTTTAGGAACCATTTTCTGCTCTCTGGATTTTGTTCAGCAACACCCTCACATTTCACTAGTTAGCCCTTAATCACTGAAAAGAGTGCCACCACCAGTGAAGCTTATTTTTGTACAGACACTCAACAACTGAAATTGCTACGGATCCAAATCTTTTCAGATATTAAAACTATAGAAGTTAAAAAATTATTTAAATAAAAAAGTAATTCAGTGGCTTAACCAGCAAGGCACATGGGCCCAGCAAAAGGAGACGAGGGCTTACATTGTTTTGCTTTGTCCTTGTCCACGTTGGCCTCATTGACCGCGAGCTGTATCTCATCCAGCCAAAGAACTTTGGAAACACTCTCCGAGTCCTGGGAATATTGTCACAGAATAAAAGGAAGAATAGTGAATGATGATGAACAGAATCAGTAACTGCTTTTCAGGAGCCTATTTTTATAGTTCCTACAGACTCTCATTCAGCACCTACCAAGCACTGTCATAACACTGTACAAACTATTAATGAAGTAACCCCCAAATCCAACCTCTTCTCCCTTCTCGTCACCCCTTTGGGTCCAGCCTACTATCATATCCCACCTGGACGGGTGCATTGGTCTATTTGTTTTTGTTGCTTCCAAGACTGCCCTCTACCACAGTGGTCCTCTACAGGGAAGCAGATGATCTCTTCAAAATGGACATCTCACTAGACGAGCCCTCTGCTTAAACTCCTCCACAGGTTCTCCCCTGCATGTAGGAGAAAATAAAACTCCCTTCCCAGGGACTGTGGGGATCTAGCGATCCAGCCCTGCTGACCCCTCTGGCTTCACTCACACTCTTCTATTGCCTGTCCCGGACGTGCACACCAGCCTCCTTCAGATCCCAGCATTCTACCCCAGCTGTGTGGTTGTTGATTCTTTCTGACCCTTCAGGCCTTAATTCAAATGTCACCTCCTCCTCAAAAGCCTTCTCTGAATACTCTCTCCCTTAATCACTAACTGTGGTACCCAAGGTGGCCCAGAATACCACAGGATATTTTAAATTTGAGGGAAATACAATGACATTTATCAGAGAGACAAAAATAAGGCAAAGAACCCTCAAGGACCTAACAGTTTAGTAGAAAAGATACATTTATCTAAAAACAATTATAATACAATGTGATCATGGTAATAATAGCTGTAGATACATGATCTAGAAACAGTCAAGAAAGGATTAACTTATAGTAGGGGTGAATTACAGGGGGGAGAAAATAGTAGCTAAGGACAGCTTCAGAACGGAAGTGATAAAAGCAATCAAAAGGTATTATCTTTATGATTCATTTTACTTTTGGGTTGGTTGTGATGATCATACTACAAACATGGTGCTGGCATATAATGTAATTATATGGGACTTCCAGGCTGTAACTGCCAAGATTACATAAACCTGCCCAAGATTACAAGTAAATACTATCAGGAAAAATGAAATATTTTCAGGGAAGAAGAGACATTTATTTTTAAACAATTGGGGACGTTTGCCCATGTGTAGTATTAAGTGTCACGTGCTAAATGCAAAAGCAAGGCTGTGATGAACAGAAAGCCATTCATCAGAGCTATGGAGAACCAGCTCCATCATTTCGGACTCATGGTGGATGGACGGGTTGCAGGAAGGAGAAATAACATGCATCAGCTCCTCCGGCAGGCTTCAATACTATTTCCCTCAGAGACTAACCTGAGATAATGTTTGTGGAAAGCACTCTGAAATGAGACAAGTACAGCCTAAAAACTATGTTCCATACAAGTTCATTTATATATGTTTCAGTTTTTTTGAAGAGTATTTACCAAATTTCTTCATAACTTATCGCTATAGAAGATACACCATACAAACTTTTGCCCAGATGAGAAGGAAGTTAACAATCCCACTTCAAAGCTTAAAGTATCTGTTTTATAGGGCAAACCAAAGAGAAACTTGACAAAGCAAATGAATTTAAGTCAACAGCTCAAATCATGACTCGTTACATTAAAGGATGCTTAGAGTTAAATACAAAACCAGGAGTAAAAACTGAATCCTACCAGTTTAAGGTCTCCTTTTAAAATTGCTCACTAGAAGCCTGGAACTGTATTTATAGGATGGTCAGGGCTCCACCTCTAGCTAAAGAGTCAGATTCAGCAGATGAGTTACAAATGGATTAAGTAAAGAGAAGCTAGACCATCTGTAAATCAAGACATAAATTCCTGAATTTAGATGAGTCCTAGGCAATTTTAATTAAACAAAAAAGTACCCATTTCAATATTTTGTGGCACTTTGGTTTTTATTTCTGCGATAAAATAGCTTTCGGTCTCAGCTTCTGTTACCATATATTTTGTAGTTGAAATATCAGACCCTGACTTTTGATTGCAAAACTCTTCCTGTGATGCAATTTAATCAAGTGTGGAAAGTTTACACAGATCAATTCCTTCCTGGCTTATCCCTCTGCCTGTAAGTCTTAGGTGAAACCTGCATTTTCTGATTCTTGCTGCATTTTATATGCAATGTGCTGTTGGATTGTTTGGCTTAGTGTTTAACCTTAAATTGTGTTAATTACAGAAAAACCTGTTACAATGCAGTTATTATTGTTGTTGTTGTTTTTTTTTTTACTACACATTAAATCATATCCTCCAGGAAATAACTACTCACAAAAGCTTATATGTTGTGCAACAATGTGATCATACTAAATACTATTGAGTTGTACCCTTAATAATGATTAAGATGGTCAACTGCATGTTACACTTATTTTGCCACAATTAAAAAAAGAAGCTTATTATAGACTGCTCACCAACAACCATGGAGTAAACAGAGTTCTCTGTGTTTCAATGTTGTATCATGATTTTAGTTTAACCAATAAGTATGTTGAGTTACGGCAAAACTAAATACCTTAAAACCAAGTCTGGCCAAGGAGTGATGACAAATTCAGACCAATGTGGACACTGATGGAGAATTTTCAAAGTAATCAAGCTCTGACATTTAACTTCCTAAAAAATGCTTGCTTTCCATAATTCATTTCATTTATAATTATGTAAAGAGTTTAAGAATTACGATTTGAAAGAGCTGAGAGGATAAGGAAAGGATAGATTCTGACAGCTCAATTACTGAGTAGAAATTACAATCTGGAAGTGTGTTTTTTATAAATGGATAAAATTGAGATATCTGACAGTCTCAAAACTAACTACTACTCAACATCTACTGTCAGCTTACTTCTGGAAAGGACTGTATGTTACCTACATTCTTTCCATGCACAGAAGTATAATGGTTGGGAATTACAGCATCTACTCTGAACGGATTATTAGGGGTGGGTAAGAGTTAAATGATTTTCTCCAGGGATAAAGTAATGTGCTCAGAGGCTCAGCCTGAGTCATGCGCACTGCAACGTGAGTACTGTCACACCCTTTCCCTCCAGAGGACCTGGGCAAGTTTCCCAGTCTGCGGAGCCCAGGACAGCACACTCTTAAGGGGAGAACAAGGTTTCCATTTGCTGTTAACACATGAAACTGAGGTGGAACTGTGCTCCCTAGTTCTATACATTTAATAACATCTGGGAAACGGGACTCAGGTCACCAAGATGAAAGCCCTCATCATTGTTGCTGCTGGAGTAATGCTTCTGTCGCCCACTTTTTGTCAAAGCGGTAAGCTCTTTTCTTATGGGGCATTTTGGGGGTGCTGGTTTGTGTAGCGAGAATGAACTGCATCCAATTTTCTTTGCATTTCACACAGTCTGCAACCCAAAAGGCAGAGCTTAGTGTTTGTTATTAAAAGGTAGCATCATAGAAGTGAATAGCTATGGTCTGTTCACTCTATTCAACCCTTGACAAAAACTAATGTTTTCTGCTGAGATTTAAAAATTTGTGGCATGGTCAAGATTTTAGATCTCTAAAATGAAGAATCAAATTTCTTTGTGAGAAGATTCTGACTTTCTAAGAATTTCCTCTGAATCAACAAAGATAGCACATTTTCAAGAAATTAAAAAAAAACCCAAGTTTATACATTCTCTTGAAGCACAAATGGGGGGAAACAAGGATATTCCCAGAAAGAAAGAGTGGTCTTTCAATAAGTAATGCTAACAAGTTAGTGTTTCTTAATGAAATACCTTTTTTGACTTTCTCTTGTATCACGGAGTTTTCCCTATGTTCACATGATTTTTTAGTTTGAGAAATGAGATCTCCCAGATACTATTATTCAACTCTTAATGTGTTTCCTATTTCACTCAACACAATGTTAGCCTGTCACCTCCTGCTTACTCCCAAATAAACCAGTTTGCAATAGATCTGGATCCACAGCTTTTTTTTTTTTTACTGTGAGGTCATTCTCCTGCCAACATTGTTAGGAGCAGGAGAGCGGGAGAGTTGGGGTTGAGGGGCAGCGATGAAATAGAATAAATAGAAATGCAACAAAACCAAGTCTCCATAAAGGAATGTTGCTTCAGTCGCCAAGGTGGTTGTAGGAGAGTCCCAAGAGAACCCACTCAGAGCAATAGCACATGTGTGATTCATGAAAAGGACAAGTGACTGTTCTTTCTGGGTGTGGATGAATGCAAATACAGCAGAAAAGCAAAAGAAAAGTGGTTTGTGAAGGGGGTTCCTTCAAGATGCTGGTGGGGTTTCGTAGAGGCAAACAGGGGGCATTTAAAGGTGACAAAGGAAAAGGCAGTGCATTTGCTTTCTTCCATGGGGTGGGGGGAGAAACGTGAGCGAAGAACCGATTGTTTAGAGGCTGAAATCTGGTCCCCCTGGATCAGTCCTTTTCTCAGACCTTTCCCCAAGTTAAAAACATTTCAGAAACATTCTGCCAAATGGAAGACTGTATTAAGAATTCATGGAAATTTTTTAAAAATATGTAAAATTTAATAATGAGTACTATTCTGAAGGCACACCAGACTCTAAGGAATAAGACTTATTTAAGTTGAACCAGATCTGGAATTCTCATGGAAAAAGGAATCATGACTTTTTCACAAAGTCACTGTTTACCCTGTTTTTAGGCACCATGTCTTGCTTAAACACAGGAATTTTCTGCAAACTGACAAACACTTCGTTTCAAACAGCTCTTGTCAGATCCTGAAAGGAAATAGCTTGTACACCATGTTCTTCAGCTACTGTCTTCCAGCCTTGTGCCTACTTCCCAAGGCACTTCTCTATGGGTGATACCAAATTTAAGCATTTTCCAAAATGCAAAATTGAGAACGATTTGTGTGGCTGAACTCAAGCAACACGCAACACACCTTCAGAGTTCACATCCAAACACAGGCACAGAACACTTCCCAGAATTTTTCTTTCTTTTTCATTAATCTATTCTCTTGTAAATGACACCTGAACACCTCCCTGTCCCTACTTGTTCAGGCAACACTTTCTGTCTTATACACTGAATTCAGTTTGTGCAATCTCAAGGTTATGAGGGAGGCTTCAATTTCACCTGCGGGTGAACTGCTAGAGATTACAGCAGGAAGAGAAACTGGCTTTGAATGAGAACCAGGTTATTAATCACTAACTCCAAGTATTCAACATGTAGGAATCCAGAGGTCATGGGAAAAGATGTAATTGGCAGAGCAATGGTATTTTAAATTAATATGAGGTTTGAAATCAGCATGAAAGTCCATCTTAGAAATTTCACAGGATCTACTTTTTGTACATCTCCAAGATTAATTTATGGAAGAATTATATAATGAGAAATAGGTTTGAGTATTAAGGTCTAGTGTATTTTTGAAATTGCTCTTGCATGAGTTAGGATTATTAAAATTAGCCTGCCAACCAATGCCCAACATTTATAGTATGTAGTTGTTGTGTCTCTATTCCTTTTTGTTCCATTTCCAATTTGCAAAAATGGAATTTTTTAAACTGAAGTATAGTCGACATACAGTGTGTCATTAGTTTCAAGCTCACAACATAGCGACTCAACAATTCTACACATTGTGTGGTGTGATTACCATTTGTCACCATACAATGTTATGAGATCATTGACTATATTCTCTATTTCCATCTTTTCGTTTCATCTCGTCTTGTCCCTTGTCCCATCTTCTTGCCCAGCATCATCTAGAGGAGAAACCTGCCTCCTGCCTCTCCCTCACTGCCACCAGAGCCAACTGGATGCCAAGTCCTTGGAGGCACCATCAGTCTCAAGTGTTCATCTTCATCGTTCTACTGCCATTGCTCTAATCCATTACTGTCCACCCTGAGTTTGAATGACTACAGTAGGCTCCAAATCAGTCCCCCTTGCCTCTAATTTCTTACTTTTTCAGTCTGTTCTCTACACTGTCACCAAAGTCATCTTAAATATGAGTCAAATCAGGGTTATATTAGCATGCTATTGCTGCTGGAACAAATTACCACAAACTGAGTGGCTCAAAACAATATAGATTATATTTCTGGAGGTCACAAGTCCTGAAGTCAAAGGTGTCAGCAAGGCTGTGTTCATTCTGGACACTCTAGGGGAGAACCTGTTGTCTTGCTTTTTTCAGCTTCTAGAGATCACTTGCATTCCTTGGTTTATGGCTCCCCCTTTCATCCTCAAAGCCAGCAGCACAGCATCTTTAAATATCTGCCATTGACTCTCTTGCCTCCCTCTTATAAGGAGTCTTAGGATTGCATGTGGCCCACTCAGCCAATCCAGGACACTCATGCCATCTGAAGATCCTAAATCACATCTGCGAAGTCCCTTTTGCCATATAAAATAACATATTCAACGGTTCCCGGCATTAGCAGGTGGAATCTTGGGGACCCATCATGCTGTCTGCCACAATGGCCATGCCTCTGTCCACAATTTTGTATGTGCATAACCCCAGCATCTAAGAATGGGCACGTCATTTCTTAGTATAGATAAGAGGCCCTTCAGAGATTTGGCTGGAACCTACTCTTTCGTCTCTCAGATGCACCTTGTGAGCATAAGAGGGCACGTTTTTGTGCATCTTCTCCACTAGTCTGACACACAGTTTATTTAAAACTCTATCACTGGTGTATAAATATGCAATGAACGTTTGCTGAATTAACTTATCTGACATTCCCACATCCCATACCAGCCCACACTATGCCTCTGTCCATATTTCACCATCCAGATTCTTACTCATCTATTAATTTCCATCTCTCCATGAACCTTGCTCATCTTTGTTCATGTTCATCTTTTTCCTGACATTCTGCTCAAACATTTAAATCTGTTAACTACTGTCTGGATGCCTATATGATTTATAATCAACATGACTTTGGCCTGTAGAGGTCTGATATGCTATTACTGTTTTCCCCAGCAGTATTATAAACTTTCTACATGCAAGGAGTTGCCATCTCATTTTTGTTCCTGCATGGGTGCGCACTGTGCTGGGGCATATGATATATACCAAATGCATTCCTGTTGATTACCTGATTTATAGTGATTTTTGACAATAAAAATGATCCTCAATTCTACAACTAGAGAAATTATGTAGCCTAAGGCTTTTAGTTTTATTGTCTCCTGAACCTTAGTCATGAGCTCAGCAATGATCCATGTTAATACTTCTTCTCAATTACAGGCATGGGAAATGATGTACGCACCTTGGTAGGACCAACCTTACCTATTAAGACCTTCCGTGGGGACCCCTTCAGTTCTTTTGAAGACTTCCCCCTTTCTGCCATAGAAGGCTGGACAGGAACTACCACAACTGTAAAAATTAAGTGCCCTGAAGAAAGTGTTTCAAATCTTCGCGTGAATAATTCTACCATGGGGTACCTGAACAGCTCCTTAAGTACCAAATTGATACCTGCCATCTACATCCTGGTGTTTGCAGTAGGTATGCCAGCCAATGCGGTGACCCTGTGGATGCTCTTCTTCAGGACCAGATCTATCTGTATGACCATCTTCTACACCAGCCTGGCCATTGCAGACTTTCTTTTCTGTGTCACGCTGCCCTTTAAGATAGCTTACCACCTCAATGGGAACAACTGGGTATTTGGAGAGGTCATGTGCCGGGCCACCACAGTCATCTTCTATGGCAACATGTACTGCTCCATTCTGCTCCTCGCTTGCATTAGTATCAGCCGCTACCTAGCCATCGTTCACCCTTTTACTTACCGAGCGCTGCCCAAGCGCACCTATGCCTTCATAACATGTGGACTGGTGTGGGCAATGGTTTTCTTATACATGCTGCCATTTCTCATCCTGAAGCAGGAGTATTATCTTGTCCAGCAGGACATCACCACCTGCCATGATGTCCACAACACATGCGAGTCCTCGTCTCCCTTCCAACTCTACTACTTCATCTCCTTGGCATTCTTTGGATTCTTAATTCCCTTTGTGGTCATTATCTACTGCTACACAGCCATCATTCGGAGGCTTAATACATATGATGACAGATGGTTGTGCTATGTTAAGGCGAGTCTCCTCATTCTTGTGATTTTTACCATTTGCTTTGCTCCAAGCAATATTATACTTATTGTTCACCACGCCAACTACTACTACAACAACACTGATGGCTTATATTTTATCTATCTCATAGCTTTGTGCCTTGGGAGCCTAAATAGTTGCCTAGATCCACTCCTTTATTTTCTCATGTCAAAAATCATAGATCACTCCACTGTTTACCTTACGATGGTGAAATCATCTTAGAGAATAAGGAAGGCTATCTGTGAAAACATACATTCTTAGGATAACATATGCCTAGTGCAAGGAGTTCTATCCTGCTGCTCCATTTTTGAGTTCCTAAGAAATACCGCTTCAGAATAAAATATTACAAGAGCACTTTTTTACTTTAATACTTTTTCAGTGTTTTAAGAATGTCACTGCAGGAGCAAAGACATCACCATTTTCTTTAGGGCAACTGACACACTTGCCTGACTGGTACTTCAAGCTCTTTACATCTCCATCTTCCCTACTTCTATGAGGCTTCTGCTGTAGGTGTCCTGGCGGAGGAGGTGGGACATGATGATGCACAGGGAGAAGCTAAGATCTCCATTTTCACTATCTGGCATCATTTTTAATTCTTCTGCTTCCCTCCACTCTCATGCTGGTGGCTACCTCATCAGCTCACTCTGAGTTATTTTTAACACTAGGGTCCATTACCCTAGTCCAACCTTTGCCTTCTTGCCATTCTCCTCACTGCCAGCCTATCCTCCATTTCACCGGCCACCACCAGAGTACTCTTCCTCAGATAGCAGATTGAGCACATCACTCAAAACCCCCAGTTCAAAACCTGCCACTGACTGTCCACTGCTTTGGAATAAACTAGAAATCTCTAGCTCGCCATTCAGCGCTAACATTTCAACTCTACTTCCGAATAAACCTTGCCTGGCCAAGCTTCTTGTTTTGCTGTAATCTTGATTTCTCCACTCTTTGCTCTTGCCTCTTAACTGTAAAGCTGTTTTTAACATGTTTGCTTTAATTCTTTCCATCTCTTAAAGTCTTCAATGGACCATTCTTCTGATTGTCAAGCTAGAAGTTCATTTTTCTCATCTCCCTTTCTTGTATTTTTATTCTGACACTTATATGTATTTCCTTTACATACAAATATTAATTTCATTAACACTTAATTAAGTACCACGTAAAGAAGGGGCCCTTCCTCTCCCTTCTTTAGCTTCTTGTAGATCCAAGTCTTCTCAGGGTCCAAGTCTTCTCTGTGGGGCCCAGATCCATGCTTTGTATATCATGCTGCTGAGTGAATGAATAAAATCCCAAAGCATCTAAGCATCATGAAAGCCCATTCAGTTCTTACTGAGAAGGCAAGTTACCCTGTACAACATCGGACATCATTTTTAGTTGGGCATGTTAAAAAAAAAAAAAAGCTAAACGAGAACACACTCATGAGGTCATTTAGAAGTTTAAAATAACATCTCCAATATTTTTTCCTTATATGTAGTTTTTAATGGGGAAATATTTTGTTATAAATGCCCAGTATATTCCTATAAGTCAATGACAACATTTCTCTTAGTTTAGGGATTAGATAGGAGATGGGATATTAGTGGTTAAGGATATGAAGGATTGCTGACATAAATGTACAAGTCCATGGGAATGTGTGTAGACCATATACTTTGTAGTGACTATCAAAACAATAAAATATCTTAAAAGAATTGTTTTATTGTTCAAACTTTCCTATTTCGTTGGATTTAGTTAAAAAAAAACCCTACAAAAACCACACACATGAAGATCTTTTATAGTAGGTATGTGGTTATGTGAAAAATAAAAATCAGTTAAACACTAAAGCAAGCAAGAGAAAGAAACCTGTGGGCACCTGGCTGGCTCTCAGTTGATAGAGCATGAGACTCTTGATCTCTGGATTGTGAGTCTGAGTCTCATGTTGGGTGTAAAGATATGGCGGTTATAGAAATTACTTAAAATAAAAAAAACCTTTTTTTTAAAAGAAAAAGAAACCTATAATAAGTTTTAAGATGACAAAAACTTCAATGAAAGGAATTCGTTTCTGCAAATAAAGTCACCATGTGGAATACAGTTTTACCTAGGGGAGAAAAATACAGCCAATATTCACTTGTTAAAAGCACACAACTCGTACGTAGTAAATATACATGTAGCAAAACCAAACTTTTCTGGGGATCCAATTCCTAAGTTCTCAAGGAGAGCCTTTATTTCTAAAATAGCTCACAATTCACTGCCTCTAGTGAAGAGACATAGAAAAGGTCTTTTCTGCTAAGTATGTGCTAACATGCCTATTACCCAGCCTTTCTCCATGAGACAAAAGGAATTTGGTGCCCAGGCAAGGTTACACTTGAAATATTATGAACAAGGATCAAGAATTCTCACCAGCTTACATCAATGTCCTCAACCTTTTATAAAGCTGGCCACAAGTTCCATGCAGACGCTATCCACTGTGATCATTAACAGCTGTATACCTTCACACAAACTTTATACTGACAATACTAGTAATATAATTTTTTTTCTATTATTTTCCAAGGCCAGACCTTGGGAAGGCAATGCACAGAATAACCTCCATCAAAAACCGGAATTTCTAGGTAACAAAATAGCAGAGATTAAAAAACACACATAGAGACCTCACCAAAAAAATAACAGAATCAGATTTCTTTCCAGGGAAAGAACAGGCTGAGAAAAACCAAGTTGCAAAACGAATGGGCAGAGAAAGAAAATAGTGTTTAAAAAAAGCCGTTTAACCAAATCAGATTCATTGCTTGGAATGGTAACGTTTTCAATGTGTTAGCTATTGCCAATACAGTTCAAGCTCCTAATTTTATAGGCCAAAAGTGGCTTAATGCCTGAGCTAGAACCCAGATCCTTAGGCTCATATTTAATGCTCTATTTCCACTACTAAAGCTACTGCTCTTAGACTTAGGGAGCAAGCCTGAGAGAGAGCTGGCAAAGCGTGGACACTCAGTAAAGGCTTCTGACTGTTCTAGCGAGGTCCTGTGACATTCCCTCTTGATCTAAAGCCATTAGATTGGAAAGCTCTGGAGGGGACTTCCACAGCCTGCCTATGAAAGGTGTTATGGAGTCAAGTTCACTTCAAGGACAAACCTCATGTGGGCTGTGGGTCTATCTCTATTCTGTACCCAGAAGATCCCAACTGTGGTTTGTGGATGGAGCAATCTGTGTGTCTAGTAAGGACCTTGTGACACAGTCATCGCTCAGTCCTTACCTGTGTGGCAACCCATCAGGGCCCACAATAATATTTGCTACATTATTTAAGTACTTTTTTGGGGTGTCAAGCTCCATGCAAAATGCTGAACACTCTAACACACATATATATTCATAATTAATGCAATTGTATACAACTATATGTTGATATGTAGAAATAGAAATATATAAACATACAAAGATGTATTATCACATCTATATATCATCGTTTGACCCTTACCATAATCCTTTAAGATAGGCACTACTACACCCATTGGACACATGTGGAAATGGAAGCACAAAGAGTTTGAGGGACTTGACTAAAATCTCTGGTTATTTTGTGACAAAGCCAATCCTGGAGCGGTGCCTGTCTGTCTCCAAAGCAAGTAACTTTATCTTCCAATGCTGGCAAGTGTGGCTTGTGCCACGACCATGGCTCCATCCGTGGGAACAGCAGATGGAGGAGACCCATTCTGCCCTCTCTGGGATGTGGGGACCCAAGGCTTGAGTTTCAGTCTCACCGTCCTATTCCTTGGCCTGCGATTTAACATTCACGTTCCCTCACATCAGGGGAGAGGGGGCCCAGCCTCCCAGCTGCTGGGAGGGTCAAATGAGGATGATTTACTGATGGCATCCTTAACGCACAGGGGGTAAGGCAATGCTACGGCCATCCCCGTCAGAAGCCTAACATCTCAGAAGTCCCCACATTGGGGGATATTTTTCTTCACCTGTAAGGAGGCAGTTCAGTAGTGTGGGGTGACTAGGATATGTGTGTGTGTGCACGTGTGCGCCCATGTGCATGTGTATGACTATATGTGTGTATATATAAATACACATACATCCATATAAACATAGACATTTTAAATTTTATTTATTAAAACTATTTTTGTATATGTAGTATATGGTACAAAATTTAAAATGCTGAAAAATATTTCTTCTTCTCCCCTCACCACTCAATTCTCTTTGCCACAGGCAACACTTCTGAATGCTGCTCGAGACTACGTTATGACAAAATATTTCTAATAACTTGTATTGAAGTTAGCTGCTTTGAAGGGAACACTTTGATTGGGCCAGTAGGTCTTATTCCAGAAACTAAGTTACAGGGAGAAACAGCCCTCTGTGAGTTCTTTACACTATTTTTTGTTTTGTTTTTTAAGTTTAGAAACATTCAGCATGTAATACATTCACTCTGTAAAAAATGAAATCCAAACAGCATAACAACAGAGTAAGAAAGAAGTCTCCCGGGCCACCTGGCTAGCTTAGTCGGTACAGCATGCGACTCTTGATCTCAGGGTTGTGAGTTCGAGCTCCACATTGGGTGTGGAGATAACTTAAAAATAAAATCTTAAAAAAAAAGTCGTCTCCCATCTACATCAGCTTTCTAGTTCACCTTCCAGAAGATGTTTCCTTCTAGAAATATTTTATGCATATACAAGCATATGCTTACAATTGGTGTGTATTCCATTTTGAGGCATGTGAAAACATGTTTTTTTTATTTAATGATATACATACTGAAGATTGTCCAATATAGATTCACTCATTCTTTTTAATGACCACAGAATATTTCACTATATGGATATTCTGCAATTTACTTAACTGACCCGCTCTTGATGGATATTTATGTTGTTTTAGGTCTTTTGCTATTACAGTGCTTCAATAAACATCTTCTTCCATCTGCCTTAATGCACAACAATATATGTTTCTGAATCAGACAGACCAGGTCATGGCTGCAGAACTAATTACTTTTTGGATAGCTTTGGACAAATGACTTAGTCTAAGTTCCGTTATCTATAAGATGATAATAAAGAGATTTCATTCATATGTCTGTTATGGATTATAATGATTATATGAGATGGTATGCATACAAGTACTTAGTACCATGCGTGGCAAATGGCGGGTGCTCAGTTAATGTTTGCTCTAGTCAAAGATGTTTTTCCTGTTTCGGATGAGGCAGTTTCTGGGTTGTGAAGACCTATACAGAGGAAACATCCACCCCTTTGGGGTTTGGTTTGCACCTGGGGACATGGCAGCTATGAATAGGTCCCAGGTAGCATCACTACCATTCTCAGGGACGAGGTCATAAACTTCACCACTCAGTACCCTTCCAAGAGGGGCCAGCGTCTGTGGAATTCCTCCCACGATCAGTATAAGCTCTGTAGTGAGGAAAAAACCCTCTGCTCTTTAAGGGGACTTGTAGCCAGGTCGGTCTCCTCCCGTGCGGAGAACAAAACACGCTCACACCCTCCTGGCCCTGTGTTCCCTGCCTGCACCCTCCTGCTTTCCACCCACCTAACCAGCTCCTCCTTCCCTTTCAGGTGCAGCTCCTGTTCTGTCTCCACGACCACTCCTCTTAG